AGGTCATTTTTCCCACTTGTCAGAAATGAGACTTGAACCCGTCTTCCTAACTTTGAGGCCATCTTTCTAGTCATGGCACCAAGATGCCTCTCATGAGATCAGTACCATTAATAATTTTTACTGTGTTCATATGGTAGTACTTTGTGGTTTTGGTTTCCTTTTAAGAATATTGCAATTAAACCGAATAAAAATATTGAAAACCAGTCCACAAATTATTGGTAGATTCCCACATGTCCCGACTGGTTTGAAGAACAGAATATGAATTTTTTTTCTCATCAAAATAATGTTCACAATGAGAAATATGAACAGTTAGAATTTATTTAGTGATGAGTATAGGAGTTAACAAAAAGTACCCTACCATACATTACATAAACTGGCTTTCAACTAATGCATAATTTAACATTCTTAAAAGTAAAAAATTTGAATTTTTTTAAAGGACTACTTTTTGAAAAGAATTTTAACCATTTGGAGATGTTACATATTGTCTTAAGAAATTGTTGTTTTACTGTCTCATACCTTACAAAGCAAAATATGGAGCCAGTCAAATCTCCTATAAGCCGGTACCAGTTTTTTCTTTTGTCCCATGACCAGCAGAGACCTTCAGGTCGCTATCTGGTTTAGGCCCAGATTATTTTACCCAGTTCCAGCATTGTTGTGAAAAGTCTCACAGTCCCTTACTCCATGGTGAGGAATATGGAATTCAGGGAAGTGGCAGTAAGAGAACAGAAAATTTCTTAAGTGAGACAATTCCCAGGGATTCTTCTAATCCTAGAACAAAATGACTCTATATAGAACCCTATTCTAGTACCCATATTTCCACTTTGCTGTGACTTGGTCCAAATTACTTTGTTCCTTAGAAAACATTGATATATTTACAATAGATGAGCCTCCTAATTATAAGGTTAAATTTATCTTATGAAATATTTCTATTTGAAAAATAATTAAGCCAATTAGCCCTTAACTCTTGGCTTTAAATTAACTGAGTAAACTCCTCTTATCTCTATTCCCTGTTTTAAATTTTTTCTATTTTTATTTTTGGACTCAAGAAGTTCACTTTTATGTCTGTAAAAATCTGTTAACCACTAGCATCAGTGGTGAATTTCTAATAATTTTACCTAAATAGAGCATATTTTACATTTCTTGAACATTGGCTAGCATTAGATAAACCAAAGAATATATTCCTTGGTATCCAAAAGTGGGAATTGGTACATTTTGGCATCTGTAGTAAGAGTGTAAATGAGAAGTTGGTCTCAAGCTATTGTTTTAGTGCTATGATTTCATTCTCTATACAGTCAGTTTATTATTCCTTCCAAAAATACTGCTGCCTGCTATTAAATTTCTTCTCACAAAGCATTTTAAAACTGTAGAATGTTGCGAATCTATAAATCTCAAATAAGTAGAAATCACCTCTAATGCTGTCAAGTCCTGTGTTATAGAATTGGCAATTATAGCAATTTCAGTCTATCAGTGTTTAGTAGGAGAGGTATTGATGTTTATTTTATTCCTTATATATGTCTGTATGACTTAGTCTTTTTGAAACTTATTTGTGTAAATTTAATGGGATTGGATCTTGCTGCTATTTTAATGATTCACTAACCTGGATTAATTAAAGTAGTTGTTTATTTTATTGGATTGTATATGCAGGTTAAAGTACAGGACTTCACCCTGCGTATCATAGACTAAGGATGATGTTTCAATGCATTGTTTGGTTGTTACATAACTCCCATCTGTCTGGAACAAAGGCTATTGCTGGGTCCTTCTATTTCAATAACAGTTATTCATTTCAGCAGATATTTATGAAAAAGCTGATATGTGCAAGGCACTAGAAGTACAAAGACAAAAATGAAATCATCCCCTGCCCTCAAGGAACTTACATTGTATTAGTTATTTTTCAAGTGTCATCCTAAAGTAATGATGATTATTGTGCAGTGGCTCTATTTCCAAGTTGATTTATGTCTCATTTGGACTTTTCTATGGGATATGTTCAAATTTCATGCCATTACTTCTGATTTTAAAATAATTTTCCTTTGTTGTAGGATGAGCAGTTCTTAGGTTTTGGCTCAGATGAAGAAGTCAAAGTGCGAAGTCCCACAAGGTCTCCTTCAGGTATGGCCAGCTAAGCAAATGGTGTGTTTGAATTTTAGACTATCAGGTTTTTTACCTTGCTTTATCTAAGCCTTTTAAGAGATGCTCCTTTAAGCTTTTGATATGTATCAATCCTTCACACTGACTAGGAAACAGTATAAGAGCTATTATTACTCAAGTGCTTCTAAATATTCTGCAAGGCCCCATTTTATTCATTCATTAGATTCTTTGCTCTATGAAACAGGATTGTGACAAGTATGCCTTGAATGGTATGGGAGTCTGCTGGGGAAAGAAAATTGTCAAGAGTGTCTTTAGATTTATAGAAGGAATGCTCTTCTGTGAAAATAATTCAGGGGTAGCTTTTTGTAGGCAAACTTCTGTTTACTATTGAAATACTAGTCTAGTAGATAGAAACAAATTTAGCAGCCCATAATATTCTTTAACCAACCTGACCTTTACCTGAAGTGCAATTTCTGAGTCTTAAAATGTATGAAATCAGTATTCTTCACTATTGGTCCAGGGTATATGGCAAACAGCAAGACCATATTGGAATGAAGAGTTGAAAGGAAATGAAGTTTCATGTATTAGAAACATTTTTCTTGATCTCAAGCAGAAATAACTAGAATCAGACCTGAGGTCTTAGATTTCAGCTGGAAGACTCAGACTTATTTTTTGAGAATAAAAGTTGAAGTAATTTTGAATGGTTCATGCAATGCTGTTATGTGAATGAAAGAAGTATAGTCCATTGGAAATTATTCCCCAACCCATGCTCCTTTACTGATTCCCCCTGAACTTTGGTTTTCCCTTGCTCCAGATGGGTAAAAAAATCTCATTAAATATGAAGCTGTTAGTTAATGGCACTAAATCATTTCTTGCCCTTCACTAAACATTTGAATTTCATCCAGGAATGTCATGATCAGTATACAGTAAACTAACAACAAGCTCCCTAGAAGGCACATTTACAAGGTAACAGATCTGCAATGGTGACGCTTCAATTCCTTTGTGATTGAGTGAGGCAGATGACAGTTATATCTAAGTCCTATCCTCATAATTGATGCTTTTGAGATCAAGTAGTCAAGATATGACAAAATCATATAATTTTAGAACTGGAAAAGGAATCAGTACTGATTGTGTATTCTAAACATCATTTTACAGATGAGGAAATCGAAGGTCAGAGAAATTATGTGACCTACCCAAAGTTCCCCACACCTAGTTTAGTAGGAGAGTTGGGACTAGTAGCCAGGTTCCTTCCCTTCCATTTTCTTTACTTATTTGCCTAGCAGAAACTGACCATTTCATAATTGAGATCTAAGAACTTTAATGAGTCTACATTTTTTAATAGTCTTATCTAAAGAGTTCCTTTTTGAAAGTTAAATAGATTAAGGGCAGAGAGCTAGCAAAGCTATCTGAGTAGTCAGATTCAAATCTATCACAGTCATAATTTGGCATGTATGTATTTTTCTGACCAGAAGTTTTCTTTTAATATTTCATAAATAACTGTCTATTTCAAGAAGGTTTCCTTTAACTTCTTTTGTTCTCTCTTTCCCTGAAAGACTCAGGTCTTGTTTTCTCTAAAATGGAACTCTATAGAAATAAATTCTTGTTTAATAAGTAAAACCTAGCTCCCTGCGATCTTCTACTGTTATTACTTTAGTTGTGATTAGCCGCTGTTTAGATTTGATTGTGAGTCCTTTAATCTATTGTGGGTAGGGGAAAATCTCATGAGTTAATGGGTGAGAAAGGCATTTATATTTAGAAGGCTTAATAACTAGACCAGTATGGACTCATTTTTTAAAATAGGTTAGTTCCATAGTCTAATGGGTATTGATCTTAAGAGGCTAAATCTCTTTTGGATCCCATCAGTAAAGGTTTTGGATCCAGGAATATGTTCATTAATGCTGGACTAGGAAAAGGATAAGATATAGCAGTGTTTGATTAATTTTTTAAAAATACTGTCTTGTAAAAGAAATACTTTAGAAAAGGGGCAACTAGAGTAGCTTTTTTTTAAATCATCCTTCTGATAAACAGGCAGATTTGGCTAATTCAGATTGACAAAGTATTTTCATTTGGATTGAAAGAAAGCTGAATTAGTTAATGGCTAATGATATAAAATAATGATATCCCTATCAGTAATGATATCACACTGATAGTTAACGATTTTTATTACTTGGGTGTTTGACCACACCAGGTCAAGAACCTTAGCATAGTAGAGTACATTAGTGGACTTGCCATTTCACTTAACTTCCTTATTAGATTACATGCCATTGAGTTCAGTGCTCTTGTTTTGGTGTCTTTTGAATGTATTTCTGCCTAGCAAGTTACCAGTTTGCTTCAGCAGAACAGGTATTTTGACATATAAGTATTGTAATAAAGACTATAGGCTACAAGTTATTGATAGAGCTTCCTAGAAGCCTTGACTTTTATGTGGGAGGAATTGTAGAATTTATTGATGAAAGCTTGCCCACAGACCCTTGATCTAATTATTGTTAAGTAAGAACAGATTCACTTAAAACTAAAATTTTTGAATAAAGAATTACTATGAGCCAGTGTACAAATGTCCTTAAATTTTCATCATGGAATGTGGAGAGTTAGTATAGATTTTTAAATCCTTTTCTTCTCAAAATAAATGTTTTTCTTGCTCATTTGAAGTTTCAGGAAAACTAGCCTTGATTGAAAACATGTATTGCTGTTTGATTTTCTTTTTTACTTGAAAAAGTAAAAAAACTGTTTTACTTCATTCCTTTAAGGTTAATTTTGAGAAGAAGGAAAAGCTTACTCAAAGTAGTCTTTTATTGGATATTAAAACCAAATGGGGTACAATATAAAATGGAGTCCTTTCTCTTTTGCATGTCCATGGCTTATGCTGTATTCACATACACTTTGTTAAGGTCAGTCACTTGGAACTACAAAGCTAAATGTGTGCTCTTCATTGTTTGATTCTATACACAGTTAAATCTAGTCCTCGAAAACCTCGTGGGAGACCCAGAAGCATCTCTGAACGAAATTCAGCTGTCCTGTCAGATTCTTCACCAGTGTTTTCCCCTCTAAGCAAACCAGAGACTAAATCTGGAGAGAAAATAAAGAAGAAAGATTCTAAAAGTGGAGAAAAGAGAAGAGGAAGACCTCCAACCCTTAGCAGTGTCAAATTCAAATTATCACAAGGAAAAGACATATCAGACTTATCAAAGGGGAGCAAAGAAGATACCTTAAAAAAAATTAAACGGACACCTTCTGCTACATTTCAGCAAGCAGCAAAAATAAAAAAGTTGAGAGCTGGTAAACTCTCCCCTCTCAAGTCTAAGTTTAAAACAGGAAAACTTCAGATTGGGAGGAAAGGGGTACAAATTGTCCGACGGAGAGGAAGGCCTCCATCATCAGAACGGATAAAGACAGATTCCGCACCCCTCATTAACTCTCAGCTGGAAAAGTCCCAAAGGGTCCGGAAAGAGAAGGATGGTACACCACCACTCACAAAAGAAGAAAAGGCAGCTGTCAGACAAAGCCCTCGAAGGATTAAGCCTGTTAGGATTATTCCTTCCACCAAAAGGACAGATGCAACAATTGCTAAGCAACTTTTGCAGAGGGCAAAAAAGGGAGCTCAAAAGAAGATTGAGAAAGAAGCAGCTCAGCTGCAAGGAAGAAAGGTGAAAACACAAGTCAAAAACATCCGACAGTTCATCATGCCTGTGGTCAGTGCTATCTCCTCAAGGATCATTAAAACCCCTCGGCGGTTTATTGAAGATGAAGATTATGACCCTCCAATTAAAATTGCTCGACTAGAGTCTACACCAAACAGTAGGTTCAGTGCTACATCCTGTGGATCCTCTGAAAAATCAAGTGCAGCTTCACAGCACTCTTCTCAGATGTCTTCAGACTCTTCTCGATCCAGTAGTCCCAGTGTTGATACATCCACAGATTCTCAGGCCTCTGAGGAGATGCAGGCACTTTCTGAAGAGCGGAGTAATACTCCTGATGTACATGCTCCATTACCTATTTCTCAATCCCCAGAAAATGATAATAGTGATAGGAGGAGTAGAAGGTTTTCAATCTCAGAGAGAAGCTTTGGGTCTAGAGCTTCTAAGAAATTATCAGCCTTGCAAAGTGCCCCCCAGCAACAAACCTCTTCCTCTCCACCTCCACCATTACTCACTCCACCACCACCACTACAACCAGCTTCCAGTATTCCTGACCACACACCTTGGCTTATGCCTCCAACAATCCCCTTAGCATCACCTTTTTTGCCTGCCTCTGCTGCCCCCATACAAGAGAAACGAAAGTCTATTTTACGAGAACCAACATTCAGGTGGACCTCTCTAAAGCATTCTCGGTCAGAGCCACAGTACTTTTCCTCAGCGAAGTATGCCAAAGAAGGTCTTATCCGCAAACCAATATTTGATAACTTTCGACCCCCTCCACTGACTCCTGAGGATGTTGGCTTTGCTTCTGGTTTTTCAACATCTGGTTCCACTGCTCCAGCCCAGCTATTTTCAGCACTCCATTCTGGAACTAGGTTTGATATGCACAAAAGAAGTCCTCTTCTAAGAGCTCCCAGATTTACTCCAAGTGAGGCCCACTCCAGAATCTTTGAGTCAGTAACTTTGCCTAGTAATCGAACGTCTGCTGGAACTTCATCTACAGGGGTATCTAGTAGAAAAAGGAAAAGAAGGGTGTTCAGCCCTATCAGATCTGAACCAAGATCTCCTTCTCATTCCATGAGGACAAGAAGTGGAAGGCTTAGTACTTCTGAGCTATCACCTCTCACCCCACCATCTTCTGTCTCTTCCTCATTAAGCATTTCTGTTAGTCCTCTTGCCACTAGTGCCTTAAACCCAACTTTTGCTTTTCCTTCCCATTCCCTGACACAGTCTGGGGAATCTTCGGAGAAAAATCAGAGACCAAGGAAGCAGACTAGCACTCCAGCAGAGCCATTCTCATCCAGTAGTCCTACTCCTCTCTTCCCCTGGTTCACGCAGAGCTCTAAGCCAGAAAGAGGGAGAAACAAAGACAGGGCCGCTGAGGAACTGTCCAAAGAGCGAGATGTTGACAAGAGTTTGGAGAAGGACAAAAACAGAGAGAGAGACCGGGAGAGGGAAAAAGAGAACAAGCGGGAATCAAGGAAAGAAAAAAGGAAAAAGGGGTCAGAAATTCAGAGTAGCTCTGCTTTGTTTCCCATAGGTAGAGTTTCCAAAGAGAAGGTTGTTGAAGATGTTGCCACTTCATCTTCCGCCAAAAAAGCTGCAGGGCGGAAGAAATCCTCATCACTTGATCCTGGAACAGACATTGCCACTGTAGCCCTTGGGGATACAACAGCTGTCAAAACCAAAATACTTGTTAAGAAAGGGAAAGGGAGCCTCGATAAAACCAACTTGGACCTTGCGCCTGCTGCACCATCCCTGGAGGAGAAAGCGCTCTGCCTTTCTTCTTCTTCATCAAGCACTGTTAAACATTCCACTTCCTCCATTGGATCCATGTTGGCTCAGGCAGACAAGCTTCCAGTGGCTGACAAGAGAGTAGCTAGCCTTCTAAGAAAGGCCAAAGCCCAGCTTTATAAGATTGAGAAAAGCAAGACTCTCAAGCAAGCTGACCAGCCCAAAGCACAGGTATTGTTTTTCATCTTGACTATGAGATAACTTCCCAACACACTTAATTTTGAAGTTGTATTTTGCTGTAAAAATAGTATAATTGTGACACCTGAAAAGAGTAGAGGCTTTTCTTACTCTGAGTAATGATTATAGCAACAGATAACAGATGGTTGAAAAATTTAAATAAGAAGTACTTGAGCAGAAGTTGAGGGGGAGAAAAACTATAAAAGTTAGTTCAAGATAGAGTAGACTTTTTTTTTAAATTCAGCAGAATGACTGCTAGTGTCTCTGGCTAAGAATGATGAGTTGTGCCTGGCCTTGAATATCTAAAAACAAACCTTTCTGTTCTCCTTTAGATTTAATGTTCTTCAATTTGGGACCACATTTTGCATTTAGGGCTTCTGCCGGTTGGGTGTTCCAGTAATGAGATTGAGGCTTACCTCTGACACCATGCTAGTTACTCTTTAATAGTTTGCCTCTGAGTAATAGGATATACTTAATTAGTAATTTTGACTCCTCCTTAAACCCAGAAAAATTCTAATTTCAGTCTTGGTCTATACATCCATTTTTTTTTGTCTTTCCATTTATACCTCAGTATTGATCCTAGAAATGTAAGAAAGTTTAGGCATGTTAGTAACCTACATATTAGGTAATATAGTCATGATAACTTTAGGTTTTAGCTAACTTAATGGACTTCTGTTGTGGGATTAATGGCCACTTAGGTTCTGTGTTTTATCCTGGCCTGCTGGCTTTTAAAAACAACCGATCCATTAAGAGACATGGCATCAGCTTTGGAAATCTATTTTAATCCTAGGTCATAGGAAGTTTGTCTGCTATTCTGTGATTTTACCTTTTATTTATTCTCAGAATACATGTTATCAATGTGGAACTTAAAAGCTTTAGGTACTTAACTTTTCTTGTTTATCTCAAATCAAGGGTCAAGAAAGTGATTCATCAGAGACATCTGTTCGAGGACCCCGGATAAAACATGTTTGTAGAAGGGCTGCTGTTGCCCTTGGCCGAAAGCGAGCAGTATTTCCTGATGACATGCCCACCCTGAGTGCCTTACCATGGGAAGAACGAGAAAAGATTTTGTCTTCCATGGGAAATGATGGTAAGTATAGGAATGTTGATCATGGAACGTGTGGACAGATATTCAAATTTGATTGTTAATAATCTTGAGAATGAATAACAATATGTCCTTTGTGTCATTACATTAAATTTCTAGAAAGCTGATCTTATTTTTATAGCTTAAAGCAAGGATTCTTAACCTTGAGTTCTTGAACTTGTAGGGTTTTTTTAAATATAACTATTTTAATATAATTGGTTTCTTTGTAGTCTTATATATTTTATTTTATGCATTTAATACATCATTCTGAGAAGGCTCCAGGGCCTTCACTAGACTGTCAGAGAGGTGCATGACACAAAAAAGGTTTACAACCCCTGGATTAAAATAACCTTTCTTTTAGTGCTTCTCTTCCTGCTTTTGCCAGAACTATAGTCTGTCCACACGTGGTTAAGGTTCTTGCTTTCAAAAAAAAAAAATAGCAACTTGATTAAAATTTTTGAAAGTTGAAATAATGTTATTTCATGCAAGGTCTGACTTGTCCATTTAAATGTTTTTCATTATAAAATATTTGTTTTTCTGAACCATGGTTTAAAAAAAGGATATTTCCTAGTAGTATGCATTTTTAAGGGGTTTAAAAGATTGCTCCCCAATACCTAGGGACAATGTATAAAGTCTGTAAGACCTAATACACGTTCTTTGGCAGATAAGTCATCAATCGCCGGCTCAGAAGATGCTGAACCTCTTGCTCCACCCATCAAGCCAATTAAGCCTGTCACCAGGAACAAGGCACCTCAAGAACCTCCAGTGAAGAAGGGACGGCGATCAAGGAGATGTGGGCAGTGCCCAGGCTGTCAGGTGCCTGAGGACTGTGGTATCTGTACTAATTGCCTAGATAAGCCCAAATTTGGTGGCCGAAACATAAAGAAACAATGCTGCAAGTGAGTGGGTATTTTATTTCAAGGATTGAATCTCTGTACTGTGAAAGGTATTTCTTCATCTTTGGCTCTGGTTTTGAATGGAGAGGAGTATGTCTTATCTTTGTCAGGCAGAGCCAAAAGAACCTGAAGCTTGTGTTGAAACTTGGATTGGAGATTGGTTGGAGAGATTGGTTGGAGATTTGGAGCTTAGGAAGCAGAATTAGGGGTGTTGATTGGCAATGCTCTTAGAGTAGAGAAGAGTCCTAAATTTGAAGTGGGCAAGAGAGTGGTTTCACAAAAACAAATTGAACACATAGGTCACAGTGGCTGTTTATTAAGTCAGTTGAAACTTTTAATTTTTCTTACGGTAAATTAGTTATGTATGTAAGCTATATCCTGGAAATTTTGGGTATATTCTATAAAATTTGCTTTCTCCACTCCCCACCCTCACCTATCTCATCCTTTCCTTTGGGTTATTTCCATATATGTTTCAATGCATAATAGTGATCTTTGCAGTGTGAGTACTCCCTCCACAAATTCAGATTGCAGTTTTTCTCCGTCTTGGTAGGTGGTTTGTGACTGAAAAACATATCATCCTATGTTCAACCTTGTAATGAGCCTCTCAGAACTTAGATTGATTTTCTAACAACAGACATAACAGTCTCTTGCTATGCCTATAATCAAAACCATTCCCCTTTTGTGAGATTGCAATCCATGTATATAAACACAGTGTAACCTCTGTGATATAACGATAAATTGGATTAGGATTTCTGTTAAAAGTTAACATTAGAAATTTCCATTCTTATAACTTTGACCTTCCTTTAGTCACTTTCTGGGACTGGTACTGCCAGCCTGAGTAAGGTCTGAAAGCAAGGAGAAATGGCATAAAGATCTTGGTAATACAAAATCTATTTTTGTTATGAGAACTGATATATTATCCACATCTTCAGAAACCAGTCTATAGGAAAAAAAATCTACAAATAGCCCCAGTGTTAACTGGTTTTATGTAAGGATTGCATCCATATCCTTTGTAGTTAAAACAGAAAGAAGTGTCAAGCAAACCATAGCTCAGCAACTAATTAAATGACAAAATTATACAAAAGGAGATGAAATGGGATCAGTGAAGTATTAAAAATACAAAACAAAATCAATCAGCAATCATTAAATGTTTATACCAGGCACTGTGCTAAGCACTGGGGATACAAAAGAAAAGCAAAAACAGTTCCTGCCTTCAAGGAACTTGTTTTCTATTGGGGGAAACAACATATAAACCATTTGGTGCATACAAAATTCACACACAATAGTAAGATAACCTTAGAGAGGAAGACTAGCATTGGTAGAGCTTGGGAAAGGCCTGAAGAAAGTGATATTTGAGCTGAACCTTAAAGGAAGCCTGGGATTCTAAGATGTGGAGATGGGGAGGCAGAGAATGGGAGATAGCCAGAATAAAGGCATAGAGATGGGGGAGGTATAGGGTTATGCCAGCATAGGTCCACCTGGCTAGATTGTAGAAGAGAGTAAAGTGGAAGACTGGAAAGGTAGGAAAAGGACATGTGAAAAGTAAGAAAGTATACTGGTAGAATTAGAATGGCAGATAAAGAATCAGTTTTATTTATTAATTATTTATTTATATGTTCCCAGCTTATTTAGTGTTCAGCATATAACTAAAAAATAAACTCCTTTCACAAGGGCGTAGTGCTAAATTTTATTACCAGTGTTCACCTAGTTCCAGCTAATTCAGTTGTATGATACAAGTTATATGATAAAGGGTTAAAACCTTGTACCTAAATATCAGTTCTTTCTACAACATATACAACAACTGGACATATACCTAAGTAAATACCTGTTCTGAGTTGAAGAAATGGGCTGGTATTTGCTTACCTTTTAAATTCCAGGGAAAGTTAATAGAGCTTATGTAGGTATCCTTGAGGGCTGAGATCTAAATTGAGCTATGACTTTGTTCTTTTGAATTCAAGTAGCTCCTGTCTTCACCCTTAATGATCAGCTTTGCTCTTGGTGAACCTGAAGCAGACTTGGGGTTCTCTGGCTCAAATGTTCTTGAGGGCAAATTAATAGATCTGTTTTGATTAGCCTTCCAACTATCTGTTTGTCTTCTCAAAGTAACTTGCCTTCTGGTCCATCTCTTGTTCTCTAGAATGAGGAAATGTCAGAACCTGCAATGGATGCCTTCCAAAGCCTACCTGCAGAAGCAAGCTAAAGGTAGAGCTTTTAACAAGAGCCTCTTAAAGCATCTCCTGCTAATAGAATGCTATGTTTTTGTGTGCACATCTCATGATTAGCTCATTCCTTTCCTCTATAAAGATAAATCATGTCCCATAGCCCTTGTGCCTTTTAGGGCCAACTTTGTGTGACAGAAGCAGTGTATAAGACTGCATGACACTTCTAAGATTCTCTGTATTATTTACATGTGATCTTGTTTCCTATACCAGCTGTGAAAAAGAAAGAGAAGAAGTCCAAGACCAATGAAAAGAAAGAGAGCAATGTTGCAAAAAATCTTGTGGACCCTAACCAGAAAACAACTCCACCAGCAAGAGAGGATCATGCCCCAAAGAAAAGCAATGAACCTCCGCCCCGAAAGCCTGTGGAAGAAAAGAGTGAGGATGGAAATGTGTCTGCTCCAGGGGCTGATTCTAAACAATCCAGCACTTCTACTGCTAGAAAGACTGGCAAGCAGGTCTCCCAGCCAGTACAGGTCATTCCTCCACAGCCACCTAGCACAGCACCACTAAAAAAGGAAGCTCCCAAGACCACTCCTAGTGAGCCCAAGAAAAAGCAGCAGCCACCACCCCCACCCCCACCACCTCTACCACCACCTCCACCACCTCCACCACCTCCAGAATCAGGTGAATAAATGAAGATAGAAGGAATTGCTAACCCCAAGCCAAAAATACCAACTAAAACTCTGCTTATTTAAAGACATCGGTATTCTTCTAAGGTGTTGTTAGACCAACTAAAAACCTAAAATGTGTGCCCTATGTAAATTGCTATGTAATTTTAAGTCTTGGGTTCAGAAAAATCAGCTACCTTGTGTTCTCTGCCCAACCAACACTTAATAAATATAATTAAGTGCTTGCTACTCGTAAGGCATTTTGCTAGATGCTGGGGATTCACAGATATATACGACACAGACCATGGTCTCAAGGAGCTTACAATCTAATGGGGATAAGACATGTACCACAGATACACAGATAACTGTGGTACAGGAGAAAATGTGGTAAGTGCAAAGGAAAGATCCAGACAAAGTGCTATGAGAAATTTGAGGAGGGAAGAGATTATTTTCAGCTTGGGATAGGGGTAGGGGCAGGAATAAAGTGGCATTTGAATTGGGCCTTGAAGGAAGGAGGGGACTTCAATATACCCAGATGGGATAAAGAGGGATTCCATTCTAGGAACAAAAGAATGCATGAGAAAAACCACAGGAACAGGAAAAGGGCAAAATTAGAGTGGAGGAGAGAGAAGAGTTAGGTTTTGTTTTAATGCAGACTACTTGAAGGGGTGTAGTATCACATAAGGCTGGAAAATTAGGTTGGGCGTAGACTGTGGAATGTTGACTGTGAGCATTAGAAGTTTAGGCAGTGGGGAACCACTGAAGATTTTTGAATGACAAGAGTTTAGCCAGAGCAGTGAATTAGGAAGATTACTTAGGAGGAAAAGTGGTTAGACAAGAAGCCAGAAGACCACTTAGGACCTGGCTATTCTAGTTAATAGTCTAGATAGGAAGAGATGATGGCCCAAACTGGCATGGTTACAATATAAATGGAAAGGAAGTAAATTTGGGGGATTGTCTTGAATTTTGTACTCAAGTTTTTCTAGAGTTAACATATTTTTAGATTAAAAAAATTTTCTAGGTGAATCAGTCATATTTAGGGGAGTCATTGTTATCTAGAAGTGACTATAAGATTGGCAGCACCTGACTTATATAATTCTTAATTTCTTAGTACCAGAGCAAAGCAAGCCGAAAAAAATAGCTCCTCGCCCAAGTATTCCTGTGAAACAGAAACCAAAAGAAAAGGTGAGGTGTTACTTGTTTTTCTACATTCCAGTAATCCAGACTAATTTTTTTTTTTTTTTTAAGAAAAGTAACCCTATTTTATGGCTCTTTATATGGTTCAGAGATGATTCTACATTTTTGCTTCTTTGGGTCTCAGGATCTTAAAGATCAGGGAAAGATCTAGGTCAAGGATTTAGCATTTCTCCGTTTTTCACTCTTCGTTTGGTTGCCCCTCTTGGAGTTTTCCTTACTGGGATTACCCAAGGAATCTGCTGTTTTGCAGCTTGCTTAGCTTAATTATGGTTTCTCAATTGTACAAGTTAGTCCTTTTATAGTTTCTGTCTATAATACTTATTCTTCCCTACCTTACCCTCATTTTCCTTTTCCTTTGATAATTTAAGGATTTGAAGAAAGAATATATTTAAGGTTTATCTATGAAAGTCCTTTGCCTTTTCCTTCAGAATTCTCATTTGGGAATTTTCCAATTGGTTACAGATAAACTTTGTTTTAAAATTTTTATACTCTGTAGTGCTGAATAAGTAGGCAAGGAAGTTGTGGTTTGCTTTTGTTTCTACCTCTTGACTCTTTAGGAAAAACTCCCTCCAGTCAGTAAGCAAGAGAATGGCACTCTGAATATACTCAACACCCTCTCCAATGGAAATAGTTCCAAGCAAAAGTTGCCGGCAGATGGAGTCCACAGGATCAGAGTAGACTTTAAGGTAAAGGGGCCAAATTGCTTAGTTTGAACATAATGGGTTGTAAATAAATGTTACGAGTTGTATTTCTTGAAGTAACTCCAGGGTTCTTATCCTAGGATCCACGAATTTTTTTAAAAAATATTTTGGTAAATATTCAAAACAATTTATTTAATTTGTAACCTGTGTATTCTATTTTATGCATTTAGAATATGCATTTATTTATGCATATCTGTTCTGTGAAGGGGTCCATAGGTCTTCCCCAGAATGCCAAGGGTATCTATAACACAAAAAGAGGTTAAGAAACTCTGCTCTAATTGAAGGGCCTAGAATGTAGAATGTTTGAAATAAATGGGAACTCCTAACTTTTGTCTCTTCTTGTAATAATAGTCTTGCACTGCTAGACTCTTAGGAGAAACTCTGCTTGAGCATCTTGAGAAGTAACAAATGGCTAGATAAAGACAATTTCCAGGGGGAAAAAAATCTATAAATTATCGAACCATGAAAGAATGCTTGAGTCAATAGAGCTGTAAGAGAAATTTAATTCTAGCTATATTGATATAACATATTTAGTATGAATTGAAAGGTGACGTTTTAAGTGGTTTATGCCTGAGGTTAGGCAATTAGAAAAAAGTAGCACAACATATTTTTTAATTCACTAAAATGTAGAGCTTTTAACTAATGGTATTGTAGTGGTTTTATGGCTATAGTATTTCCTTTCATCCCAAAGCCATATTCTTGGAAGATTCATAAGTTCAACTTTTTTGCTTTACAGGAAGACTGTGAAGTAGAAAATGTGTGGGAGATGGGTGGTCTAGGCATCCTGACCTCAGTTCCTATAACTCCCAGAGTGGTTTGCTTTCTCTGTGCCAGCAGTGGACACGTGGAGGTAATTTATCTGCAATCAATCAACAAGTATTTATTAAGACTAGCTGTGTGCCAGGCATTGTACTAAGGATGCAAAGAGAAAAATGGAATAATTCTTTGCCTTCGGTGTAAGGAGCTTACGATACAACATATCTATATTTGGGTATATGTAAGTAAATACAAAGTGATTCTTTAGAGGAAGTGGTGCTAGCAGTTAGCAGCTGTGCGGATTGGGATAGGTTTCGTGTAGAAGGTGGTATGTGAGCTCAGTCTTGAAGGAAGCAGGATTCTAAGAGGTTGAAGAAATATAGCAATATAAATGTTCTGTTTTAATAGAAATTATTTGCCACTTTACTAGAATATAGTAGGTTCTATGTCCAATTTTAAACAGTATGGAGGAGGGCTTTTGGGACTTTCCAGGAGGTAGGGAAATAGACTTTCAGGAATCGGGCCATACTGAGGCTAAAAAGTTCCTTATTTCTTTAAAAAAACAAAAAAAAACAAAAAAAAACCCTTTAGCTTTACTAGAGTTAAACTGGAGAAATGACCTTTCTGACTTTTCTTTTAGTTGTCCAAGTATAGTATATGGGATAATAAGGCCATCTGGCCACGTGAAGGATTTGCTATTGATAGCTATAAATATATCCATTACTAATTAAAAGTCCAAATGAATTTCATATATGAATAAATGACTGAAAAGAATAAATTAATTTTATAACTGTCTTCAGATCTTCAGATCTTAGTCCAGCACAGAATTTTTCATGGAACTTGAAGCTTATTTAATCTTAGTCATGCTCCCGTAAAACTAAACAAAAACCCATGGGATACTTGATCATAAGAAATTTCTAGTTGCTTCCCCTTTAAAGTCTAACTAGGGCTTCCTAAGTGTCTTCAAATTAATGCTTTCTAAAACCCTCTATCTTATATGAAACAACTTATAATTGAAATTGTAAGGCAAAAAGAGTATCAGTGTCTCTAGGGCTTCATTCACATATTAACCTCACTGATTAAATTCTACTTGTTGTAAAACCAGGAAGAAAAAAGGAGGGTTGGTTGATATTTCTAGGCAGTAGCTAATGTATTCTTATTATCTCTCTTCTAGTTTGTGTATTGCCAAGTCTGTTGTGAGCCCTTCCACAAATTCTGTTTGGAGGAGAATGAGCGCCCTCTAGAGGACCAGTTGGAAAATTGGTGTTGTCGTCGCTGCAAGTTCTGTCATGTGTGTGGAAGACAGCACCAGGCTACAAAGGTACTAAGAATAAATAACATAACTACTTGGGACACATCCCTCTGTCTGTATTTCCTTCATAGAGCTGTTAATAAAATTTGCTCAATATCAAGTATTAAGACTTTTCTAGTGACTTCTTTCATACAATGTTAACTCTATCAGAGAACTTAGAGATTATCTTTTTTAACCCTTTTATTTCATTTAGCTAAGGCCATACATATACGTAGTGGTCAAGACCAATATACACATCTTCCTAACTTTTAGCCCATATTTTTTTTGCTCCACCCTGAGTATTTTTTTTTAGTTTAATCTCTTTTTGATGTCCAGGTGGATTGACTAGTGCTCTCCTTTCACATTTTAATTTTGGGGCCAATTTCAGTATTTGCTGCTAGGTGAATGAAGGTCCCTGGCTTTGGTTGTACAGGTCAACACTTTTTTTTTTTTTAAGGTAATTGGGATTAAGTGACTTGCCCAGGGTCACAGAGCTAATAAGTGTCAAGTGTTTGGTCTGAGGCCAGATTGGAACTCAGGTCCTCCCGACTTCAGGGCGGGTGCTGTATTCACTGCACCACCTAGCTGCCCCAAGGCCAACGCTTCTTAAACTGTGGATCGAGGCCCCATGTGGGTCTTTAAGTTTAAGAAGTTTAAAAAGTTTAAAAAGTACTGAACAGTTGAGAGTAGAAAAGGTTTAAAAAGCCCTGGTATAGGCCATCATTTTGATATAAAATGTTTAATTGTATTACCTCAGGAAAACAGATTTGAGATTAAATTTCTTGGGATCTCTGTCTGTATCTGATTTTATTCCATGTGTTCTGGTAGACGAGTCAGATTGTGTCCATTTAGAAGCTCACATTTTTTAAAGAAGGGAAGTATTTATTAAAGGAGCCCATTTTATTTCCTTTGCATGGTGCTTGACACATAGTAGGCACTTAAATACTCGTTGATTGACTTGTAATTAATATAATTTTAAAGAGCTTTTCTTTTCCAGATATTTATGACTTGGTAAGTAATAACCAAATTATTAACTATTTAACAGTTACTATATTCAAGGTACTGTTTGGCCTTCTTTGAGGCTATAAAGAAGTAAATGACATTACAAGTTTCTAAACTTATTTAGTTCATTTTCCCTGGAATGTAGTGTATATGAAGAGAAACAGTATCAGATAAGGTTGGAGAGATAGAGTGGTACTTGATCATGGAGGTCCTTGAAAACCAGGATAAAAAGTTTGAACTTCACAGTGAAAATCTCAGCTGGTAGAGACTTCAGAGTACATTTAGTCCAAAATCTACCTGAGCATCATACTTTTCTCCAATATCCCGAAGTAGTCACCCAGCCTATACTTGAAGACCTCCTTCAGTAGGGAATTAGAGAGCCATTGAGATGTTTTAAGCAAAAGAAAGGTGTAACTAGATCTTTGGATGAGAAAGACAGTTCTACCTCTAGTGTGAAGAATGAATTGGAGGGGAGAAGGTGAAGAAAACTTATTAGAAGATTATTATTCTGGTTGAGGCATATGGTAATGATGTCCCATATTAGAGTGAAAATTGAGAAGAGAGGAAAGGTGTAAGAGATGTTGCAGAGGTGAAGTTGATAGCATTTGCTTGATAGCAGGGATTCTTTTTAAAAAATTCTTTTGTAGTTACTGTACCTGGCACATGATTGGTGCTTAATAAATGTTTGTCAATTGATCAATTGATCAGTTGATATAACTGATTAGATATAAAAGGTGAGACAAAATAGATTAATCCCAAGGTTACATATGTGAAAGACTTGGTAAATGTTGGTGTCACAGACAGAAACTGAAGTCAGAAGGGAAGAGTAGGTATAATGGGAAAGATAATGAGCTTGGTTTTGAATAAGTTGAATATGAGCCAGTAATAGGATTCCCATATCCAAATTTAAGTTTCCTAAAGATATTTGGAACTCAAAAAAGAGGTTAGAATTAGAGACATAGAGTTGGAAATCTTCCACCTAGAGATGATAGTTGAAACTCTGAGGATTCATGAGATTACCTAAGAAGAGTGTACAGGGGAAGAAAAGAAAGAGCGCTAGAGACAAATCTTGGAGAACACCTCAAGTATTAAGGCTTAAAAAATAGGATGAAGAGTAGGGAAAGGAGATAAAATAGCAGTTACTGAGATAGAAGGAGACTCAAAAGAGCATAATGTTGATGAAAGAAAGGAAGCGGAGTATCCATTTAGTAGGAAGGCAAATGACGGAGTTCAGAACCTTAGAGAGATCAAGATTTAGAGGACTTTGTGTGTGTGTGTGTGTGTGTGTGTGAGTGAGTGTGAGGCAGTCGGGGTTAAGTGACTTGCTCAGGGTCACACACCTAGTCAGTGTCGTGTCTGAGGCCAAGGATTTTTTTTTTTTAAAGGCCATTAGATTTGGCAATCACAGAGTCATTGATGGATGACCTCTAATAGAGCAATTTCATTAGAGGATGAAGTCAGAAACCCAGATGCATGGTATTGGATAGTAAAATGGAGATACTGGTATAAATAGCTTCTTCAAGAAGTTTAGCCATAAAGGGGCACATATAGATGAGGAGAGAGCTGGGTAGGTTAGAAGGGCCAAGGGAAAGCTTCCCACTCCTCCCCCTACCCTCCCCCACCCCCGATTGGGAAGAACCAAACATATTTAAAGGCAGATGGGCAGGGAGAGATTAAAGGTGTTTGAGGGAATGAGGATGGCTGCTGAAGCAAGGTTCTAAATCAGTCAAGAGATAATATGATCATATAGGTAGAAGTGTTAGCTTTTAAGGAAAGGAAAGATACAGCTCTCTCTCCAGAAGGAAAGAGGATAAAGAGTTGATGGTGATGATGAATAGATAATATATTAGAAGGAACCTTAGAGGCCATCTAATCTAGCCTCTCATTTTACAGATGAGGAAATAGACACAGGGAAGCTAAGTGACTTCCATAAGGTCACATGGGCAGTGGCAGAAGTATTTAAACTCAGTTATTCTGACTCCAAATCCAATTTGTTCTTTCAACTGTCAGCCTTTTGAGAAGTTTTGAGAAATGGGGTGGGGGGGGAATGAGGGAATTCAAAATATTGTGTGATCTTCATTGTCTCAGTGAAGAAGGACGCCAGTATGTTCATGTTTAGGAGGGAGAGCTGTGGATGGGAGAAGAGATTAAAAAAAAGTTTTGAATAGTTGCAGTGGGCGATGAAATGATGGTATAGTAGAAGGATTGATTATCAAGTAACAGTAAGAGCCCAGTTTATGGGGTGTGCAGTGAATTTTTGCCGTAGGATAAACCAGTTTGAACAGAAGTATTGAAGGTACCATAAGCTAGAATGAAAATGTTTGTCTAAAAGGTGTTGATGCACTTTCTTTTGACACAACAATTATTTACCAACAAACAACTTAACTACGCACTGCCCCACCTCCCCATCCTACAAAGTACATTCTCCCCAAAAGACAATTTATCAGTTATTAACAGAAAGAAAAGATAAGCAGAATTCTGGAAAGATGACGGAATAAGAGATAACCCTAGGGTTCAGCTATCCCCTTACCACCTGAAATCAATAAGAAAGGTGTCAGAAAATACAACAAAAACAGCAATGCCAGAAAGAAGAAAAATGAAAGAAGTTTCTGTAAGGTAATTCTTTATGAAAAAATAACTGATGACTGGCAGTCCTGTTCCTGGATGCTTTCTCTACGTACCCACTGTAATACTGGCACAGGTTGGTCCCTTACCCAACCTGGGCCTTTTATGGTATCTGTAATTTTAGACATCACTTTTTCTTAAAAAATTAATTAATTTATTTTTAGTTTTGAACATTCACTTCCATAAGATTTTGAGTTCTAAATTTTCTCACCCTCCTCCTCCTTCCCAAGATAGTGTGCAATCTGATATAGGTTCTACATATACATTCATATTAAACATTTTCACATTAGTCACATTGTGAAGAAGAATTAGAACCAAGGCGGGGGAACCATGAGAATGAAGAAACAAAAGAAAGAGAGAGGGAAAGAGAGAAAGCAAATAGTATGCTTCGATCTGCATTCAGGCTCCATAGATCTTTTTCTGAATGTGGGTAGCATTTTCCATCATTAGTCTTTTGGAGTTGTCTTAGATCCTTGCATTGCTGAGAAGACCTATTAGACATCATTTTTTGGAGCGACATGTCCCAGTCCCATGGTATCCTAGATATATAATATCCCCCATGTAGGTTTTGACATGTTTATGGGACCGATTCCTGAGCAAGAGGGAAATAACTTGGTCACGGTTAAAAAAAAAAAAAAAAAAAAAAAAAAGGTTGGATTTCCCAGTGGGGAAGAGGTCAAGCTGCAAAGCTTCGTTGGACCAGTGCCCTGACTGTCCCTTTTCTCTAACCTTTAGTGAATTGGGGCGCCATGAACCCCACCAGCCCCAGGACATGGGGTAGGGACAGAAGAAAGTTGGTTGCTGACAGCAAAGAGAATCCCAGGAGAGTGGAGCTCATAAAAAATGGACAGGCCAAGCTGTGGTGACCTTTCAGCATCTCCCTTCATCAGTGTCCCTGGTGACTGAGAGAGAATGGAGGACAAAGGAGCAGGAGTTTGGGCCTCATTTAGAGCTATTTAATATAAAAGGAGAATGATGATAAATAAGGCCCATGATTCAGGAAATACCAGATAGAAAAATCAGTAGTGACTCATAAAGATCTATAAAAGCAGTCAGAGGAAGGAAAATGAGGAAACAAAAGTCATCACAAATGAACATATTGAGTAAGTACTTTGCAGCAAAAGAAATTGGATTTGAAAAACTCCTAAGGAAGATGAGATTAGCACAGCAAATTATATGAGGCCCCAAGAAATTAGATGATGGAGCATCTCAAGAACTTTCACAATATTTGAAAGAGCAGTAAAAGAATAAATTCAATAAATCAAAAGATACAGGCCAAATTAGAGTTCTTAAGGAAGAAATCAGTAAGTCTGACAAGAAAAATAAATCATATAAAACAAAGATTCTCTCCAAATTAATTGATTCTTTGACAGAGAGACTAGAGTTAAGACTATAAAATGACA